TTYTCCCGCCGTTTGCATTTGTTGTTGTTATCATTCATTTTCAAGAACAATTAACGAAGAAATGCTTATTTATGATGTCCTCTGGGATGATATCCCAGAAGAAGAGCTATCAAACGTTTTAGAAGCTACAGAAGCTTCAGACAACTGCAACAGCTGCAATGTAAGGAGAATTCATCGTTTCATATCGCATCGAAAGTCAGAATTATTTACAATTTTCGTATTCTTTTAATTTTAGAAAAACTTGGGATGTAGTGAGAGCACTCGAAAAGCTGGAAACCACTCCGCTACGCGTCGTGGTTTCCTACGCTTCTCTCGTGCTCTCCCTACATCCCGCGTGTTTTGATCAGAGTATCAAACACGGAATTTCGTCTTTTATTCCTTAATAAATACATTTTGACAGTTTTGTAAACAAAGGAATCATAATGTTCATAATGATCATCCATTTTTCAACACTTCAAATTCTTTGCTTATCTTTGCTCTCTGTATTTGTTGACAGTTTGTATTAAAAAGAGTTTATTGAAGAATAAAGAGTAAAAATCTGAACATTCAAATAATATCAAGGCTCTCTTTTCAAAATGCATAGTTTTGTAAATTAAAACATCCGAGTAGTTTTATGTCAAAGAAGATTACTTATTATTGTGGATAGAATGTACGTGTACACAATTCACACATATTTTCATTGTCAACAAGCTCATTTAACTGAGAAGTTTTGAAGTGTATCAGGTGATGAAGATTTTCAAATTCAAAAGCAAATTTAAACCAGATTAAAACTGCCAAAGGTTCTTGAAGTAGAAGAATTGTATAATTTGAGCACCAAAAACCGCTTGCACATATAATCTAACATACCGCCATTTGTTTAATAACGCCACGGTATCGTCAGAGAATATGTCAGTTCTCCTCTGAGAAATTCTCCATCAATAATCGTTGTCTTTTGCGTTCACTTGTTTCTCGATTTGCTTGAGTCTTAATAAACTTAAGCTTAAGCTTAATTGTTTCGTCTCTCACGTTTTCCCTTTCAAGCCTGCGTTGTTCTTCACTTAGACTTCTTCGACGCTCTCTTTCTCTTCTTCTTGTCTTTTCTTCTTCAGATAAAGATCGCTTTCCGTTAGCTACCCGTTGATTTTCCGACATTTGGCGCAGAAGTAAAGTATTTGAAAGGACAAAAATGCCGGAGTCGTTGTGGTGAAAAAGTTGTTTCAACAATACACCAGTTTCGAGTTCATAGCGAAAAACCTCTGCTTTATTTGACAACAGATTCTCTTGCTCAAAGACCTGACCAAACACAAAAGAGAGCACGAGAAAATGTCGTTATTACAATAGCCTTGAAAATTTGCATTTTCCCCGAGTTGAGACTAACCCTGTATTCCCAT